ATTACCCTACAAACCTACGAACTTGATTTAGTAAAAATATTTGTTAATTAAACTTTTGAGTCTATTTCAATATTTGAATAAACCTCGTTAAATAAATTACGACTGTTTTTAATTTTCAGTAGTATATTGATGAACCTTAATGGGAATTTCAATAGAATGAACGAAAACCTATTACACAAACATTGTAATTCTTAACAGCTTTCCCCGTTTCCAGTCAAATCGTCAAATCTAATACTTTAAATATTTTCTTTTGAATATCGGTTTCTCCTTACGAAAGTTGACAAGGGTCTTTCCCCGAGGCCCCTGCGTACCCTACACGCACTGTTCCTTCCGAAATCGAACGTAAACACATTGTGTAATTTTTTCGCACGGGGAGAAAATTGATATTTACCTACCCTAAGCTGAAAGGTACTTGTCTGTCGTAAGATCTTAATACCCACTTGTTTGCTGCAAATGGTCATTAAGTGACCAATTCAAATTTACTGCTGTGGTCAAGCTAGGTCCAGCTGACCGGTTAGTGGACAATGACTAAGATGTTATCGTAAAAACCTTGGTGTTGCGTTATCAGACCCATTTATCAGAGGTCGTCCCGTCCCTGTTGTCGCCCGGGACGGGACACCAGTCAACTATCTCAAAAAGACATTTACACATGAGATGACGACGATTTAGAAATGTTCTCTATAATTTTGTGATTCTGGAGGGAGCGGTTTTATGTCATTTGTCCATTTCACATTCCTCGTCATCATTTACTTACATCAAACGCACCGGTTATCGTCCATTAATGATGTGAGAACGTAAAACCATAGTGTACTATGTGTGTAAAATGGCTGTGCTATTATCAAGTGGCACATTCGGAAATTAATAAAAATAGATAAGTGTCGTGATATGTTTAACACGGTTAGATTTACATGTCGTTAGTATCGTTCTAACACCGACATAGCGCCATCGGTATTGTACAGTAGAAATAGCTATTACAGGTAATGACAAGGGAGGGAACATTCAGACAAATCAATGAAAATATATTTGAGTCGATGTTAAACTAAAAATAAATTAATTCTCAACAAACCAACATCAGACGCTGATGCACTCGCAGCAGTATAGAATAAAGATATATATTTCAAAATTGAAACTAACAAATCGGGAAAAGGGAAAAAAAAGAATCATCATTAATTTACCCTTTTTCGTATTAATTTTGTTTACCTATATATTTCTGATACCATTAGATAAATAATGGACACATCGAAATTCGTTTTATGAAACGAATTAAATAGTATTAATAATCAAATCAATTATTAAAAAAAATAAAATCTCATACATAACTGTTTTAATTTCCAACAAGCACCCCTCGGTTTATAACTTCTGTTTCATTATTTTTTGCCTTTATAAAACATTCTCTAACTCATGAAAACTTTTATATTTGATAAAGAGCAATTTGCAACTTTTTTTTTTTTTTTTTTATTGTTGCAAAAAACAGCAGTTCGACAGCAGCATTATACAAATTAAATCAATCATATCCTGACTATTTCCTCTAATATCTAATTCTCAAGAACAAACAAATGATTTATTTTATTGCATTTTTGCCAGTGAAATATGGATTCTATCAATTTGATAAAACTGATATCTTTCACACTGTGACAAATATCAAAAGGGAAATTTTCACAGTGTGAAAATATCACTTTTTAGTATTGACCAAACATAACGGTATCTTCTATTCGCTGCATTCAAAGGCAACGATATTTTGATTCATATGAAGCGACGGTAGAATAAGTGGTTGTTATGATAAATGTTTGGTACACAGACTTAAGTATTTACATATATATACCAGTAATGACATTTTTATAAGCAATCATACCAGAAAATAGCAGAAAACGTCGAAATCGCGTTGAGAATGCCATTTAAAATGGCGCGCATCCTTGTTGTCAAACGTGACGACATTAGAATATGGCGCTAATAATTACGCTTCTGATTCCCGCCCTTTTTAAATGCATTACATTTTTCATGTTTTATGCTTTAAAAATGTAATGAAATGAATAGAAAATTCAATGGTGTCTTCAGTAATTACAAATATATTTCACTCGTGTGGCTAATATTTTGATATTTTTGTTAATTATTACTGAAGACACCATTAAATATCCTCTATTTCTTTTTTTTCTCTCTCAAAAGGGATGGAATGTAACTGGAAAAATGAGGGTTCATATAACCAGTTACAAACAATTATCAAAGAAAATAAAATGTAGAAAGGAAAGGAAAAGATTTTGTAAGGAACCCAGCAGCTCATTTATACCCCACCCCGTAAGTAGAGGACGGATACAAACCCTGTTGGTTAAGACTGTATTTTGTGCATCGTAACAAAGACATGAAGGTATGATTTTGTCAAACCTATCCATTAACGTCTCATATAAGATGCGCCATATGATCATGCAATGGAACACAGCAGGTCAATGGTGCCCTTTCCCAAACCCCTAACAACGAACCCCCGAGGAATCGGAGTCTGTGACACAACTTACAAGTACAGTTGTCTCAATCATAAACTGGCATTAAAAAGACAGCCTTGGATTAAATAACAAACATTAACCGATACCGATATTTTATTTTTGTCGACGTTTTGGAATTTAACTTTGAAAAGGCAAAACTCTGACAGTATTAGTATAACAAAAAAAAAAATGAAGCTCCATGTAGCTAGGTACTGCTGTTCAGTATATGGCCATATCTGTAGTTCCGCATGAGTGTCGTTATGATATGATGATGATGATGATGATAATGACGATGATGATGACGATGATGATGATGACGATGATGATGATGACGATGCTGATGACACGATACCTGAGTGTAAAGATGATGTTGTCATTTTATTGTTATGATGACTTTTATGATGTTCAGTTTAAATAATGGTGAAAATGACGAGGACTTGAAAAATACAAAACAAAAAACAAAAAAAACCCACACAAAACAAATGCTTTAGTAGTATAGATGTGAAAAACAACAAGCATTAAAGTTCACTTTAGTTCTATAATAGTTACAATGGCTAACTTGGTTTCCTTGACACAAAAAAAAAGAAAGAAAGAGAATTTAGTCACATCGACTTGCGATCATAACAAGCAATTAATAAGAAGGGATTGTTTTTTCGATGCTGCAATTTCTGGTAGCTTTGAAAGACCGCCAAAATAGCATTGCGGCTTACATGAACATAATACCGTACTCACAATATCACAATTATTACTTATGGTATTCAACGGCAAAATGGCGAATGTAATCTCATAAAAATGAATTCAACTTCTCATGGGGCCTGTTCGTTTATGCGGAACAACCGGTTCGTCTGTTTTTTAAATGTAACTTTTTTGATAAAAAGTGTATGCAGGCCTTGCAAGGCTATGTCAAGGCTCGCCTGAAAACATGATCAGATTACTAGGTCCGACCTTATTTCATAAACGAACAACTCTGGTCCAACCGGTTCAACCGTTCAGACCGCGATAAACGAAAACGGCCATATTTATTTTTGTCTATCAGTCAATTTGGTCCAATTTGATAAACAAAAATCAATCTTGTTTACCAATAAACTTTATAATGATGAGGACGACATCAACATAATATATAGGTATAAATCAATGGCGTTCTTTTCCTTTTATAAAGGGACAATTATGTTTTCACTCCAGAGTTCTATCTCGTGTTAAGTAAACATTTTGATAAATAGGAAACGGTGATATTGAAAATGATCTCTTGATTTTTGTTCTAGTTTTGTTTTTAAATATTATGATTCAGAAGTTAAATGTATTTTGTGATTTTGAGACATTTGACCACCTAAACATTTAACGAAAACTATTTTACAGTATTTACAAACCAAAATTAGAGTGAGTGCAAGCAGAAATACGCCTTTTAAAATCAACACGCATTATATACAATTTTTCTTGGCTTAATTCGAAAATTTTGAAGATATAATGATGATTTTAAAATATTGCAAAACCTTGGTATTTCAATGGCGCAAATTCATTGAAACTGTGGCTTGTATCACAGAAAATGGAGTCCAAAGTTTCAAAATGGTCTAATAAAGCAGAAACAGCCGCTATGCCCATTGACAACCGATCAAGGACGAGCACGTGAGCAAACATATTATACGATACCATCTTCTTTGTTAAAATGAAATCTTCTCATTGACAGCAAACGGATAACAAATTATGGTCAATATTTCTTTTCAGATTATTTATTGTCCGTCGACGAGGTCCAAACAAGAGTTTCATTTGTGCAATGCGCTGGCCATATGTCCAGCGACGTTATTCGGCTTAGAAGCTAGCCAAATTACAAGTTGCGAGGTCCAGCGCGCTCCGGCCAATCTTCCCTCTGGCCATTTTGCGGCGTAGAAGCCAAGCCCTAATGATACGTTTTATGTTCGCAGCTACGGCTTCCATTGTTGACCATCACGCATGACTGCAGCGCCTTAACGAAGGTAATCATTACTTGTATTGTCATTGGTCAATTAATCATATAACAAAGTCGCCGATTGGTTAATTCTGTAATTAGTATCAGTTTTCATTGGTCGAATTTCTCAAGCGTGATGAAAGGCGAAATAGATAATTTTCCGAATACATCATTTTAAAGGCGTTTATTATCGAACCATTTTAGCGGTCTTTGCCTCAGGTAACGATGGCAGATAAGCTTCAGAAAGAGATCGGTACTTGTATAAATAGGGCAGTATTACAAGGTGGTATCGAGACTTATCTCGTTTAAAATCAAACCAAAAATGCTCAAGTAATTACGGTAGACACGTCAAAGGCCCCACTACTCACTTAACTTCACTTGACTCCTTCTCACGAAAGAATGGTCGTAACTATTTAAATTTAAGATGACCAATTTGAATGACCAATGGACACGCTCCTGTATCACATCAGCTCATACTACTACCAAGTCAGTTTGTATTGCAATAAGTGACCCATATCTTTGGATAAATAAATAAAGTGACCATTCGTTAGTCAAATAAGCTATTTCCAATTTTGCATCCAGACTGACCACTGACCACTGGACTCACCGCAGTATTACTATCTCGTTGGAACTTCGAACAGTTTGACCTGGTCAAGGATTTATTTTATCGTCTTAACCTACAATTAATTACAATCAAAAAACAATACCAGACAATACAATTTCAAGACCGATTATAACTTCAATTATCAACTTGAAAACTGTTTTTGATATTACGATCGCCTTTGAAATTGACAGACTGGGATCCATTCCGTGGTGATAATCAAAATTATTGAACACTTAGAGTAAATTAATTGTGAAGACAATGAGTGGTGACGAGGAGTCCCCTAATAGGGAGCCGACGAACCCCGACAGGAAGACAGGGAAATCCTTCTTTATCGATGATATTCTAACCAAAGATACGGAATCGGACGTCCGGCGCAAGAGTACAGAATCGAACTATAGCCCCTACAAGAGCTTTGGCTCGTATGAGCAGCAATCACCATGTGGCAACTCTTACGGTAAATATGATTTTCTTATCCTTATCAAATGACCCAATTTAGAATATATGTTAGTTTCATAATACCAATGGATTGGATGAAAAGTGAAGCGAATAATTAACCATTTTTTCGCACAATTATTATGATAATGTAAAGATTACGAGAAATTACGACAGGATATATATAGGGTGGGTTGAATATACCGGGTGGTGGGGTGCGTCATAGAGGGCAAGAGAGCGTTTTGAATTTGAAATAGGCAGGGTTGGAGAGGGGCAAATGGAGTAACGAATAAAACTTAATTATGTAGTTTATATATACCGCTGATTTCTGTATATTGATGTTTGGTATTATAATATAACTTTGTGTCATTTACTTCCGTTATAGCCGTATAAAAAGAAGTTCCTTTTAAAGTGACGTGCTTTTAAATGGGTTTTAATTACTTTCAGTCTCTCGTAACTCGTTTAGAGTGACTTTTGTCATATGTTTTATGTATATTTTATTGTATCATTGTATATATGTATGCAAAAAGTGAGACTTTAATAAACTATCTGTATCTATACATTACAAAATAGAATTATACGGGTACTTTTAACGTAATTATACGGGCACTTTTAACGTATCAAACAATGGGAAAAGTATTTATAACAGAGGGGAAAAAAGGTTCAACTGTGTCATTTTGTGAGTAGATATTTTCATAATTGTAACGAACATTTTTTTTCAAAGTCAAATATGTTGGATCAGCGTAAACGGTTTTAGACCGGGACTAAACAACTTAACATAAATTTAACTATTTTTTTTAGATTTCGATGAAACATCATTACAGATCGTAACTTTTTCGATTCAAAAAATAATCTGCTCATACTTTACAGAAAAAAATATAACTTTATTCCTGTAATAAGACGCGTAATATAGCTGCATTTAACGACCGTTGTGTTTAGTTTAGTTGGTTGTTTCCCCTTGGATCCAGCTAGGCCTATGATTCTATGAAAAATTAAATGTGACTCGAATATTAATTTTTTCCAATTAGGATGTACATTGTCATTTTTTTTTTACCTTATTAAAACCAAACCTTCCATAAGTGTTAAAAAAATTATGTTGTATTATGTAGCTGATTCTTCGTATAAAGTATAATGTATTACAAGAAGCGGAATTAATGATTTGGTAAAACTTGTGTGTTCAATCCGTCTTTTTTTTCAATTTTAAAAAACTAAAGCAAATAATTACAAAACTTGTCAAAAAACACATTGTTGAATTATTCTAGATATACTTTAAAACTGACACTAAATTTGACACATGTCATACAATTTTATATTGTATTCAATGTTTCCATTCGATAATATATAATATATTTCATCAAACCTATCTAAATAAACCGCACAATGAGGAAACCGAAACAGTCTTAATTCAAACCAATTAAGCTAATTACGAATCCTTACAATCTGATTAAAATCATCTGTTACACGGCTTCGTTCTAGACGTCAGAGGGGCGTAGCACATACGAAGCCAGCTAACATATGATTTTAATAAGATTTGAATGCTTTAATAGATTTCGTAAATGTTGTATACCTCTCTAATATTATATCAGGAAACTGTCAGGTAACAGCCGATATATGTTAAAAATAAAGTGATTTTTTCCAGCAGTGGTTTGCGTGGCATACTTCAAATTACATCAGAACATAAACTATGAACTCGGACGGTTCCAAATAACGATTATAAGAGAAAAAATTATATTTAAATAATGATTTTCTATATATTGGGTAATATATAAGTAGTATTAGCTGTTATAAGAAAATATTGCATATTAAAATATTGGTTAATACTGTAATAAGTGGTTTTTATAGACAAGCCACTGCTAAAACAAGGAAAGATTTTTTTTATGCAATTTTAAAACCGTTAGTTGTAGACCGTCCTTACTGCACGTGTCTACGGATTTTGAATAATAATTTAAAATTGATTTAAAATTTAAAATCTGAAATACTGATGAGGTATACCGTTTGTAACGTATTTTCTAAAATTCTAAGATTAACATTTAGAGATTGGAATATGGTATGAGTACAGACTTAATTTAATGCAGTAAAATGATGCGTAGGTCGTCAGCCATCATACCGTGTTATGGTCTATATATATTTATAATCAAATAAATCAAGCTTCATATTCAAAAGAAATTTAATAATTTGATAAAAGATATGTGTCTAGCTAATATGACTTAAATCAGAATTAATATTCAAGCTAAACTCGCAGTTTAACTATTTCGATGTTTTTTCAGTTTCTTTTAAAATATGTATCCCTCTCAACTATGCTATTTAGTATAGTCTATAGTTTTGACTGCTGAAGAAATTGCATTTGACACAATGATAAGGTGCAAAATTTAAAAGTTTTATTTAAGTTTCAATAACTTCAGTTAGGAATCTCATTGGTTAAAGAAAATTGTACTTCGAACAAAATCCTTTAATTCCTTTATGTCGCATTTAAAATAGAATCCAAATAGACACAGCAAAATAATGAAGTTTTGGTAAACTTAATAGTTACGCCTCCATGAGTACAGTGGCTTGTTTCGGGAAAAGTTGTTTCTTTATTGTGAGAGAACAAGATTGCAAATGGTGGATTCTTAAAAAAATTCGTTGAAGAACGATTTTACATTTATTTTGTTTAACCTTAACTTATTCCTCTTTACAGAAAACCCCCAAACATGTGTCTGCCGGTCATGTCAGGATATGAGAGAGCACGAGCACGTGCCTTCAAGTTACGTCACCGGGGAATCGACGTCACGTCTCTCAGTAACGGACTCAACACACGCAGAAGTGTGCTGTGCCAAATCACAAAACGAACTAGATTCGCCAAATTGCAGTTCGAACACAAACAATAACACCAAACTGAAGAAAAAGACCAGAACAGTGTTTTCGAGGGCTCAAATATTTTACCTAGAAGCCGCTTTTGACGCGAAACGTTATCTGTCCAGTGCGGAGAGGGCGGAGTTAGCGCTCACTCTCCACCTATCAGAAACTCAAGTTAAAGTTTGGTTCCAAAACAGGCGTAACAAGTGGAAATCACAAATGACAGACGACAACAAATTTCCCAATAAGGAACCAAATCATTTTTATCCTGGTCATCCATTGGCTCAAAGGTATCACATGGGGTTGGGGTCTATACCCCCATCGCCACACCTCTTGAGGCATCCCATGTTGTACTTTTAATATACAATTTGTAAACGTAGTACTAATTTGAATCGATTTTGCAAAGATCGACAAGTTATCTCATGTATTTACCCCGGATTCAAGTGTTATGTGCAGTGAAATATTAACAGTGTACAAGGAATACTCCGATTGTAATGAACTGTTGACATTATTTGGTTGTTGTGCCAAGGATTGACACTATTTTGTTGCTGTTCCAACGACTGACATTATTTGGTTGTTGTACGAACGATTGACATTATTTTGTTGCTGTACCAACGTTTGATATCATTTTGTTGTTGACAAATAACCATGTTTTAAATATATTTGTTGTTTTGAGACAATGTGTTACCTAAAATAAATATGGTATACATATCAACTGTTGTTTTCGTCTTACTTAACAGTACCATGGGTGTATTTGTGTCACGTTGTCAAAATCAATCGGTAACCGACGGCACTTTCTGTATATATATATCTCGTTTACGGAAAGTGTCAACGGTTACCGATTGAGTCCATTTTTTTAGGCTAGTAACTTAAGAAAAAATCAGCTCCGCGTGACTTAGAAATTAAACTGAACTTTTGATATAACATGCCATTTCGTATCATTCGGTTCGGTTACAATAAGAGATTGACATGTTAAAGGCGTGAACTATTTTCATAAACACATCAGCTTTTATGATCAAGTTAACGTCGCTATGTCCTTACGTATGTAATAATTATAAGTACAAGTTTAATATATTCAATTAACATAACTAATTGTTTAATTGTGGTCTTTAAAATGAATTATTACGGGGTTGAGATTTAAGGTGACCATATCATCTTTAGGTTGCTTGTTGAACCTTAATTTAATGGGTTTGAAATACACATTTTCAAATACCGAGATTAATGCAATATACATTAAGCGGGTCCAATATTTTGGCAAAATAAAGTGTTTTCGCTATTACACATTAGGATATGGTATCATTGTCTTATCCAGATCATAACCATTAACACTTGCAGTATACCTGCATCACACACAGAAGATGTGTAGTCCATTGCCAATAGACAGCTGTTACCTTGACATCAAGGTCAAAGGTCAAATAAGTGCAAATTGTTCAGGAAAATCTTGCCTGGGTCATAACTTTTAAACAGTTAACGATATCATAAAGACACTTGCATTATATATCTGCATCACCTACAGATGATCTGCAGTGCATTTTAAATAGGTCACTGAAACCTTGACCTCAAGACCAAAGGTCAAATAATTGCATACTTTTCAGTACAAACTTTAAAACTGTTAAAGGTATCTTGATGAATCTTGCATTATACCTCCATCTCACACAGAGGTGTGTACTACGCTGTCATTAGGCCACTGTGACCATGACCTCAAGGCCAAAGGTCAAATAACTGCATACTTTTCAGCACCATAAATGTTGGCTCTAACTTTAAAACTGTTAAAGGTATCTTGATGAATCTTGCATTATACCTCCATCTCACACAGAGGTGTGTACTACCCTGTCATTAGGCCACTGTGACCATGACCTCAAGGTAAAAGGTCAAATAAGGGCATATTCTTCAGGAATATATTGCCCTAGTCGTAACGTTTCAACATTTCCAAGATATCTTGATGAATCTTGCAGTATGACTGCATCACCTACAGGTACTGTTAACACAAATGATAACATACACAACAATACATTATCCAATTGAGTGTTTCAAGTTTATTTCACTTCATGAAGAACAAAAATGAGTAAAAAAAGATGAAAATATTGGCAATAACTTATAACACCCTTATTGGTTCAAATACTTATTTTCCTATTAAATGATAAACAGTCAACAATATTTTTTTTTTCATTGAAAGTAATTTATTTATTACTTAGAACTTTAAATCCTATTTAACGGACCAGTTCCAGTGATTGCTATATCACAATGTGATGGATAAACATACAAAGCCATCAAAAAAACTACCATCAGCTATTTTCACCCTATCTAACGGGTAGCTGACATTTCATTGTAGCCGTGTGCTGCACAAAAACAAATGGCTCCTATCTAACGGAGTCAATTGTATGGCCATTACAACATATACACAATTTAATCGTTAATCCTAATCTTATGATAACGATGATGCAAAACAATAAAAAAAATATAAAGGACACACGCTCACACACAACATGATAATTTCTTGTAATTCACATGTCATCAAAATTATAAATACATTACAAATTAATTGAAAAAGATGTCCATTTTAATAATGCAATTATGCAGGACAATGCTTAAATGAAAATTTGTAATGAATAATAATTTTAGAACTACATCATTGACAATCTATGCATTACCCTGTAGTGTAAATAATGTCTTTGGAAAAAGAAATTCTCATGAAGATATATGTATAGGACATTACTTCATAAAGTTCATAGAAAGATAAGCTAGACGACAATACCATTTCACATTGCTGTACTTATTTTCTGCACATGATGTTTCTGAGTTGTGTCCCTTGGTCAGGTTATAACATTTTCCACTTTGAAAATGATTTGGTAATCAAGAGATATTGAATAAATTAAATTTATCTCTTTTGTCATTGATATTGATTGTTGTTGACCTTTTCAAAAAGAGGTTTTCTTTATTATAAGCTACTATTAGATGCTATATAATGTTAAACCACAAACTGATATCAGTTATTTATTTCAAATCACTATCAGGTATTTGTTGTAAAGATCAGGTTCATTGTTAGCACTATGGAATTAATTATAAACCACTACCAGTTTCAAAGTAAGCACTATCATTTCATTTCGTTGTAAACAACTATCAGCTGTTTTTCAAACTACTCTCATGATCAGTTAATTTTCAAACCCCTATCAGTTGCACTGCAATCCACTATCAGTTCAAGCGTCGGTCACCTTCAGTTATTTGTTGTAAACCAACTATCAGTTATTTGTTGTAAACCACTATCAGTTATTTGATGTAAATCACTATCATTTATTTGTTGTAAACCACTATCAGTTATTTAAACTGCTGATCAGTTTCATTGTAAAGCACTATCAAATGTTTGCTGTAAACCACTATCAGTCCCTATCACTATCAGTTATTTGTTGTAACCACTATCAGTTCCATTGTAAGCCTTTATCAGTTCCAGTTATCATCATCAGAGGTATTCTTCATGCATTTCTGAATGGGGCTGAAGTCCTTGTTCCAACATGGACTTTTTCTTTCTCTCCTCTGCTTGCTGTTTTTGTAGTTGTTCCTCTCTCTGCATTTCTAGAATATCGTCGATGGGAACCTCCTCTAGTGGGTGATTGTCTTCATTTTCAAGATCCTGAAATATCACAACAATTTTCTTCGGTGGGGACAAATAATAATGTGATCAATTCTTTGATACAAAGTTGGAAATACATGTATCTGAAGCACAGTAAAAAACCCCAGCTAATTTGAAGTATGCATTCAAAAAGTATGACTTTTTCACCCTTTACTGTATATTTCATTCATGATCGGTGATAGCTAAAGCCTTTTTTTGAAAATGGGGTCCAAAATTAGTGAACGATTCAGTTAATCAAAAAAGGGAAAAATAAGAGAAAACCTAAAGAAAAATTGGGTCCTAAGTTTATTTTTATATTCAATCACTGGATGTGTTCCAATGTACATATGTATGAACCTAAAATAAATGCCTTTATCTCTAAAATACCTTGTTCACTATTAGGACTTTTTATTGCATTTTGCAAAAGTAAAGAATTGTTGTGACCTCGTTAAAATATGAAAAGGTAACTCATCCTAAGAGTTACCCTATAAATACAGTATTAGTTATTAACTATGGCTTTTTCTGTTTCTGCTTCTCGTAAATAAAGCACAGAAGGATAGATACAGGGAAAACAATATTTCCTGGTTTTACAAAGTTGATGAATGATAATTTGAACATAGCACTTCATATTAGAAATGGTCTTTACCCTTGTGTGAATGTACTTGAGTTCACAATCATATCAAAAGATTTTAAAATGCTTACAATTTCTCCAAGTAACACCACATTTTCTCCACGAACTACGAAGATTCCTCTCGGAATGTCGCCATACTTCTTTCCAACATGAATTCTCTCGATAGTTCTCTGAAGGACTAAATTGGCTATTAAAATTTAAGAAATAAAAAAAAAAAATGCAAATTAAGAAATTAGAATGATAAAGAAAATGACAAATAACTATTAGAAAAATTAAGTTCTATAAGTGTATGCAAAAAAAACCAAATACTGTAAACATACTTATTTTAGTGTATTCAGATTTTAGCACTTTACCGAATTTTTTTTTTTAGCGCAATTGATGAATGCCAAGCATACATGTCCACAAAATATGCAATAGAGTACAATATACAGGCACTCCATTTAGTGCAGTATTTAAAGAGCGAAAAGAGCTAAAACAAAGAGTACTGCTAAAATATGTACCTTTACATGTACAGTATGTATACATAGTCTTAAGCTAGCAATGCCCCAATACAAAAGAGTAACTTTTCCAAACATAAGTATTACGACAACTTGTGCATGTGTAAGAAGAGAACCTTGTACATGTACTCTCATAAACACTGGCAATTGTCCCCCTTTAATTCAGAATCATAAAGAGGAGGATTTTTTAGCCTCTTGCAACTACTCCTGGAGGGATATAGAAAACAAGCATGACATGCATTTATGATATGTGAATTAATTTATGTAAAATGCTATATGCAGAATACTAAATGGTCTATCTCTCAAAGTGAAATCTGAAGTCTGGTGTATCCTTCATACCTGGGCTGTGGGCAAAGGCAGTCTTAAGTGTTTTTTATAATTAAATTTTGAGATTCAATTTAAGGTCACAATAACTTTGCATGTTAGGCTAAATGAATTTTAATGTACAGCCTTCAGTTGTCAAAATGGTATGTTTTGATTAGTTTTAGGGTAGATTTTTACTTTCAGGGCCACAGTTGAAGACTGACATTAGGAATAAACTGTTAATGATTCTCTGTATCCACAGCATGTGACAGTCACAGTGACCATCAGTCTGAGGGACCATCAAAATACAAATAGTTTACCCTTTGGTTGTCCAGGGCTAGGCTTACAGCCCTGTGCTTAAAATATAGTAGCTCTCTAAGACTTTACAATTTATCAATTAACTGTAACTTTTTAATATCATATGAGAGTTGTATTGAAATTAAAACTTACCAAACTGATCAATGCTTCTAAGGAATCCAATTAGTGTCCTTCCATCACGTAAAACAACCAACAGTTTTTCTAAAGTGGAAGAAAGACAATTGCAATTCTTAAGAAAAAAATCATAAAAAAGCTAATTGCGAAGTACAGCTTTGTTAAGAGATGAAAATGTGTAGCAAGCTGAAAGTCTAATTAAAGTTAACAGAAATGGTGGCAATGGTCTTGGATTTAAACTTTTCAAAACATTAAGCTAAATGCAAAACTTTTTGAAATCTTAAAATAAACATCAAGTTCCGGACATTTTCATTTAAATTTTCATAAAGATTATAAAATACACATTTCAAATTAAAAGTTTGAAAAATTTGAATACAAATTAAATCAAATTTGAATTAAAAAACAAATTATACTTGTTTTTCATATTAAAGCGAACGAAAAAAATTGTGGAATTCATTTCCCTGCTTGCTGGACATTCCAACATGTATGTGCATTTCTGTTTTTGTTGAAATTGATCAGCTGATTATTAGGGCAGATATTGCATAGAAACCAAACAGTCAATCATAACACCGGGGTTCGTTACAAATGTCTGAAATATACATATGCTATTCTGATATTTGTATTTTCAGACATTTGTAACAAACACTGTGATCAGAATGTACATGCTTGTCTTATTAATTGTGCATAAATATATATGCATCAGGTTGACAATCGAACTCGGGGGGGGGGGGGGGGGGGGGGATATTGACTAATCATCATACATATAGGAATAAATGTATATATGTCTTGGTATGGAAATATAAAAAGAGTCATTCTCTATCCTACACTAAAGTACAAAACATTACATTTGGGTTCACTAGTCAGACGCAGTGACTTGTGTGACGCAGACAGATGTTTGAACCATTGTCAAAACATTATTTTCAAGACATAAACAAAACATCCATACTGTCTATTTCTTCAACTAAACTCGCAGTTCCAGGAAGATAACTCATTCTCGATATATATTGACTGCATTTACTGTGGTGTGCACTTCTTAATCTTGTTTTCTCAATGTAGAAGGAGACCTTTTTCAGTTAGGTAAAAAAATCTTATAATGTCAAGCGTTTTTAAGATTCAGTTGAGAAAACTAATTCTTAAGTCGTTAAAGCGTTTGTTTCGAAGGTAAAATTGGAAAAGCGCTCCGATGATTATTGCATCATGGCTTCCATCGGTAGCACGTTTCTTAGATTTGGCGTAAGTATTTGCATTTTTTATTGAAAATCTTAAGAGGATAGGTTTCATTTTTTGTTTGCTATGAGTTTGCAGTGGGGATTTTATTTGGCGAGTGCCGGAATGCAGTAAAATAGTTCAGTTAACTGTCGATTTCATGTGTCAGGTAAAGGCTGTATCATACAGTGTATGGAATTATGTAACCAGAATGACCCGAAATAGAAATTTGCAAAAACAATTTTACATCAACAACGGGCGCTTTGACAAAGAAACTTAGTTGTGAAGAATAAACTATTGAATATAAACAAGAACACAAATTTTCATCACTTGGAAGCAAATATTCTATTGAGATTAGTAGGTGTTACCTAAACATGTTGGGCTCATTACGAAACTACATGACCTGCAAAATCAGACGTTTATTCAATAAAAGTATAACAATCTCCTATCTGTTAATACAAAAAATACTCATTTATTTTTATATTTATATTGAATAAACGTCAGACTCCTGTGATAACACGAGTCTAAATGGATATTATTTTTTAAAACAAGATGCTATGTATTATTATTCATACAAATGATTTACAATGACAATTTTTTTCTTGGTTTCAGGCAAGGAAGTACACCACATTTCTACAGTGTGGTAGAAGTATTTATACCACAAAATCATGTTTAAAACAATTGAGGCCAAACCTGATGGACCAAAATTCAAGATTGTTTAGTACAGGTAATTCATGCTGAAACATGTAAAGAATCATAAGATATATATTGAACTTGAACTTGGTAAGACCTAGCCATGCAGCTATCTGTATCAAGTTAATTTTGTTTAAAAAAATGACCTTGACACACTTATAAGGCAACATGTAAAATTTGTACGAAATCTGAAGTGTGAGCAAGAGCTTATATTTGCCCTAGTTTGCTAAGACAGAAAGGCTGATAGTGCAAATGAATGGTGTCAGGTCGTTTTGGTAACAAGTGGTTTCGGGACTTTTTTCAGCTCGTTTCGGGACATGTCAAAAGTCCTTTCAGAATTTTTCAATATTTTTCTTCTGTAGATACCACTGTCTTTTTTCTCTAAACATATTTCAATGTCAAATACATTTTAACAAAAATGGATTTGGTAAATGTTATTATAACTTATCATAGGCATAGCCTTCTATCGTAAATGTTGGTAACAATCTGGTAACACTAATGATCTGGGTCAGCACGGGTAAGTCGTGACACAGGTCATAGACTAAAATCTATCTTGTGTATTTACAGGACTAACTGTTATATAGGAAACAGGAGCGAAATGTACTTTATAAGTAAAAATTGTATATGTACCGAAACGACTTGATTAAGTCCGGAATCGTCTTATGGACTCCTGAAACAACTTGTTACCGAAACAACTAGCATTCAAATGAATGAAATTGGCTCACTTTGAAAACCACATTGTTGAGATGTGTAAAAACTAAAAAAACCATAAGAAATTCCTGAAGAAATATGATGCACAAGATCAGATATAATAAATCCAATGTTTGTTTTAACTGATAAAATATATCAAAATCTTGTCTTTATAAAATTTCATTGAGATACATTTTATATTTATAAACGGTATTTTTTGCTGATTTCATTATTTTCTTTTTATCTTGATCTTTTATCTTAAAATCACAATTATGATTCAGCATGTAATTTATTCAGGAAACAGATAGCTTCCCTTATTTTTTCAACAAAATGTATTGATATAATAAATAAATATTTATATGTATACATGTTTCATTTTAAGGTCCAAAACTTCTTTCTGCTTCTGTCCAGAACCCAGCTCCAGACTTCCAGGGTATAGCAGTGGTTGATGGTCAGTTCAAAAATATTTCCTTAGCAGATTTCAAGGGGAAATATGTTGTCCTATTTTTCTATCCGTTAGACTTGTAAGTATCTGCATGCAACAGTTACTTTATTGCATGCCACAAATTTGAAGTATTTTGTATGTATTTACGAAGGTATAGTTTATCAAAAGCAACTAACATCATTGAAAATATGTTATGAATTCGTTCAACAGATACATGTGCTGATACTGGATCATTGCGTTTCCAAACTTTTAATTATCTAAACTCACATCCTCTCCATCAATTATTGCTGATAGAATATAGATTAAACAGAGAAAACTAAAACAAGATTGGACATGTGGCAGCACCAACCATTGACAGTCAGTCAATTTGGAACCATGCTAAGGTCGGCTATGGGGCTAGCCATCCTTGATATGCAGACGTAATGCTCACATTCCTTCTCCGCACCACTTTTAAAGCAATATTTAAAAAAAAATTGAAATTACTGGTACATGTACTCTTGATCGAATGACCATGCTTACACTTTGTAGTTTTCTTAAATACCATTTCATTTTTCTCACCCGACCTTGTGACAGACTTCCTTTACCTGTGTTCATGTCCTGTATACATCTTAAAATATTTTATCAAGTCTCTGACTGATGTATACTTGTTTATGTTTCAATCACATTCATATATATCTGAGCGATGATCATGAGAAAATGGAACTTAACAGTATAGCCCAGCTACATTTGTATCCATCACTAATTCGATGAAATAATATTCACAAATTCAAATACAAGACTTTTTTTGTTATATTTCAGTACATTTGTGTGTCCCACGGAGATCATTGCATTCAGTGACAACATGCAGAGATTCCGTGATCTTAACACAGAGGTAATAGGTGTGTCAACGGATTCACACTTCAGTCACCTCGCCTGGATCAACACCCCAAGGAAGGTAAACTACCTAAGTCTGACGTCATGGAAGCATATCCTGTGAAACTGATCATGAGAGGCTTTTGTTGGTAGTTGCCTTTCTGGTTTTAAGTTAATATACACTTTCTGTGATGAAAAACTCTCTTTGTTTATTTACATGAACTTGAGACATGCAAGTTGTACATGTTTTTCATTTTACTTAATATATATGTACTAGTGGTTTCCAATTTAACCTCACAAACAGCAATGTAAATACCCAGCAAACATTTCACATTTTACAATCTACAAAATTTGAAATTAGAAGGATATATGGAGATTGGGTTTGTTATATCGAAGGATTTCGTGGCAAATAAAGTTTCAGTAAGGTAAAGAATACATCACAAGTCGAGATAAGAAAGATGATTGCACACAAAAAACAAGCACCAGATACAAAGTCTACATACTGCCATTGACTGAAATCCTTCTCTTCTCTTTTGAGTCAATTTCTCACTTTACCCAGACTGTTCTCTCAGCGGAAAAAGTAGGAACATCATTCCAGGTGTTAAACATTATATTTCCCCGTCTCTTTCTCTACTGGTAAGTGTCGTTTGGCTGACCCTGCTTTCATTTCCACTCTAGAACTGATGCCATTGTCAATGACATGCACAAGTGGGTTTCCTTGTTCATCCTTGGTTTATGTCTTGGCTATTTCCATCTTCTTTTTACATAAATGCTGATTGGGTCTATAATTGCCCCTTTCTGATCAATATTTGTGTCTAGCATTGGCAAGTAAATCCTTAGTCCGAATTATTCTGACGTTTTATCGACTTTTTTCATATCGGTCTGTCGTCGATTAACGTCAGAACTCCGGCCCTCTATAATATGCGGGAAATATGCATCCCACGCCTGGAGCGCACTTCAAACTGTTATTTTAGAAACAAATCGTCACTTTCACACACATGTCGCACATGGATCGAAAGATCTATTCTTTATGTACAAGATGAACATACATAACATGCCTCAAACAACTAATACAATCACTAAAAACATTTTTTCAAACGTGCTCTGTTTTACTCTAGTTTTTTGATAGCCCCGCCTTCCAATGCCACGTGACTAAAATCTCGCCGGCCTACGTCATAACGTTGGGAAATACCTTCGGTAACGCGAGATCTCTTCAAGTCATGTGACATTTCTCATGGCCTAATTTCCATAAAAAACATTGGTTGGTATAGAAAACGTTGGAAAAAACATTTCATAACGATCTTTGAAACATGTTATTGATACCACCTAGTGCATAAAGAATAGATCTTTTGGTCCATGTGCGACATGTGTGTGAAAGGGACGATTTGTTTCTGAAATATCAGTTTGAAGTGCGCTCCGGGCGCGGGTCGCATATTTCTCGCATATTATAGAGGGCCAGAGTTCTGACGTTAATCGACGACAGACCGATATGAAAAAAGTTGATAAAACATCAGAATAATTTGGACTAGTAAATCCTCTGTCTTTTTAGGCACTTCATTGCTGACTCTATTCCATATCATTGCTATTGTTTTTTTCTATTTTGATCAGAATTGATTTTTTTTGTGGAAATAAGTGTAATATCATTAACAAAATATAAATCTCTGAATTTTATGTCCATTTTCTATCTGATCCTGGTGTTTACCATTTTTAGCTTGTCTATTCAGAGAATAAGGGGGGGGGGGGCTAATGTAGTCACCCTGGTGTTAGCATCTCATTTAAGGTTTATTTTTTTAAAGGTTTTTCAGACAGTGTCAGATATCTCCACAGTCATGAGGCTGTTGACTATTATAAGGTTGAGGCAATTATATGGAGTGTAAACAACGTGCTGAACCATATTTTCATATTTCAGGGGCCAAAACAGCAAAATGTGTGCACTTGGTTAAATTATTTAGTATATGGTGTGTGTATAGACTTACAGTTTGACAGTGGGCGTTATTCGAAACTTGTTGGTATGCTCCTGGTGACTCTAGAGCCAAGCCACTAAGGCCGATCACCAGCCTTGAGCCCTTAAGAAATACATTGTAGTACAGTATAATTTTATGGTTCATTTTTTCAAAAAATATGTGGACATATGATAAAGAGATAAAATTAAAAACCGTAAACTCTGATTCATGTATAAAAAAAGCATATCTTGCAGCACATATAACAAAAAGGCAGAAACTAACAGCCAAAATAATGAAAAACTTCTCTTTACATTGTGAATTAAATATAGATAAATCTCCTTACAGCAAGGTGGGTTAGGTGGTCTAAACTATCCCCTGCTGGCAGACTTCAAAAAGGAGATCTCTCGTGACTATGGTGTGCTTCTGGAAGATGCTGGAGTGGCATTACGGTAAGTAGCTGGTAGGTCACTCTGTATGTATGTACAAAACGGTAAGTTTCTGGTAGGTCTGTCCTTGTATGTCTGTCCCTGTATATGCCTGTCCTTGCACATGCACATATAGCAGTAAGTTTCTGGTGGGTCTGTTTTCAGATATATAGATAAATATGAGAAAAACAGTAAGGTTTTAGGTTTATCTGTTTTCTAATTAGGAAATTACCAGTAAACTGGATTCAGTTTGCCTGACCAGATGAAGAATTGTAGATGGAAGCTCTACAAACTGAACTGTCTAATAATCTGTGACTGACCCAATCCAGCTCAATTACTTTACCCATAAACAAATCAAACTGTTGTAACTTAAACTCATTGTCTGATCATTTTACATTCATCATGCATATGTCTACACATTATTTAAAAAAAGTATTGGCCAAAATTGGTTCTGATGAGATAGCTATTATAATGTTTTGCAGGGGATTATTTCTGATAGATCCAGAAGGCGTTGTGCGACAGATGACCATTAATGATCTACCTGTGGGACGATCAGTGGATGAGACGATACGCCTTATACAGGCATTCCAGTTTGTGGAGAAGCATGGAGAAGGTAATGTCATGTAGTGTGTCAATTTTTTTTTTAGAAATTCCTACTCTTCAATTATATAAGTAGGTAAGAGATGGATCATCAAGCCCAGGGATTCCGTGAATCAGGAGATTTTATTTGTTGACTGTTTCGGTAGGCTAGGCCTACCGTCATCAGAACAAATTTACAGTAGCATTGTAGAGCTAAGGTGCAAATTACGGTTCACAATATAATGACATCATGATATTGTTATTTAGATCACGTGATATTAAAAACAAGTAACACATGAACCATGTATCAATAAAGTCAATTAAAGTGTTCTCATACTTTAATTCCTCATAGGCATGTACAGCCAGTGTTCTTAAAGGTTCCATGTGGGGATGGCCATACAGTATGGCACAGGTTGCTAGGCTTGGGATGGTAAAACATATATTTGCACCTTAGTTCTACAATGCCACTGTAAAATTGTTCTGATTCACAGATTCCTTGGTGTTGATGCTTTATCTCTTACCTACTTGTTATTACCTATCATCTATGGAGCTCCATTAGAATACTCCAGTATCCACCTAAGATTCCTCCACCGAGACATCTACCAACCAGCACCTATAGGATGTTGGACTCCTCCGCCTCTTCGTGTGCTATTTTTCCACTTTAATTATATAGTTCTTGTTTCGCATGGAGAGACCAACACAATCATGCTATTAAAACTGATCATAGGGGCCAACCCTACCCGTGTGGGACATTGTCATAACATGGAACTGATTAAGATCACCACCCTATATACACATTTAACATATATATCTCAATCAGATTTCCTTTGAAACTTTTTTTCCCCTTGGGACATGGTGATCTATTCTTGTGTTAAGGAATAGTGAGGCACCTCTGGGGGCTGGGCCAAAAGTGAAAATTTTGTGTGTTAAAAGCCTACCCCTCCTGAACAGTGGATCATATTTCAACGATATTTGCCATGTAGCATCATTTGTACCAAATAGTTTGATGTTAAATAATGGAATGGTATTGTCCCCTTAGTGCTGAGAGGCAGAGCTCAAAATGGAGGAACATTTTCAATATTACTATCAAATAAAACATTTGACAATTATTGCTTAAGTTATTCCGAGGGAACAATACATGCCCTTTAGACCCACTGTTTCAGTTAAATATCTATGTATATTTTAACATTGAAAGACATGTGTTTATTTTGCAGTGTGTCCAGCTAACTGGAAACCAGAGGAAGCTACCATTAAGCCAGACCCAGCTGGATCGAAGGAATATTTTGAGAAAGTCAATGTCAATTGACGAAGGCTGTGAACATAGGGCTATATTAGATATAAGAAAAGAATTGAGCTGTATGTCAAGATAGAAATCCCTCAGAACAAAACACTTACTCTACATTAATAGTATACATATCCTACTTTGGGTGAAAATCACTTTAGATGCATTGTGACTTTATTATGTTTTACTTATTTTATCACTTTTCGATAAATCTAGTCAGGATATATATGGATCCATTGCAGGAAGATTTAACTTTGACTTTATTATGTAACATATCTGTGTCTTTTGAAAGATATTTTCATTTTTTTTTGGTTATATCTGAATTGTGATTCAACATGTTTACTTGTTTATACTCTAGTTAAACTAATTATGTAAACTTGTTATTTAGCTTTGTTCTGTGCAAGCTCTGTCATGGGTTTTTTGTAAATTGTCTCCCTTCAGTTATGTGTTGTTAATCTTTTTAGCATGTATCTTCATGTTCAAGATTTACTGTACTTCAAGCATTTAAGAGATGTAAAGATTTAAATGCAAAGATTTATATATCTTTATATGCCAAACAAAGTTGAAATGTCATATTTGTCTACTTAGAGTGAACCAATTATGTTTTGACACTTTCTTAAAAAAAGATAGCCTCATGTTGTTGAAATGTTTTCCACCAATGATGAACATTTCATTTTTGTTCAAAGCTTAGCATTCTTCTTGTCACACTAGATTTTATTTTAATGTAAGTAACTTACAAATGCTAAAAGTGTCTGTAATTGATTTACTTTTCTTTTCATATGTACAATATTTACATTCTTCTCACCAGGAAGCAAGGAGGACTGAAAAAAATGTTTTCAGTACGAAGCAGAGAGTTTGTTTGGAGCCCTGGTAAAACTTATTGTGAATGCCAATGTTTTTACAAGGTTATCAACATAAAAATAAAATTCAAGAATTTGTGGATGTGTATTTTGTTATGATAGACCCATTTCAGGGTTTTTGCCAGGTGTTTAAAGGGTCTGGTACAGGGACCAATTGAAAAATGACGCTGCATTTTCCCAATTTCAGTCTTTTTGATTTAATTATAAAATATGTTTATACAAGTTTCCAGTTATTATATGTGTAACGTTCAAAGTATTGCTATCCATGAACGAGCATTCAAAATTAATGATAATGAAAATTTGTAATTGAATTAACAAAAACACTGAAAATTGATATGTTTATTTATTGCAATACATTTTACTGTAAAAAGAAGCTTGAAGACCTGTTTTGCTAATCACATTGCAGGTTTTATTTTTAGGTCACCTGAGACAAAGTCTCAAGTGACCTATTGCGATCGCTTTTTGTCCGGCGTCGTTCGTCGTGCGTCCGTAAACAATTTACATTTTTTTTAGACTTCTTCTCCAAAACCCCTGAACCAATTTCAATGAAATTTTGCAGAAACCTTCCATGGCCAAAGGTCAACAAAAATAGTGGCTGGTTTGGTCCCCAGCCCCCAGCCCCCAGCCCCCAGGGGCCTGAGGGGCGGGGCCAAAAAGGGTCAAATTGACTAAAATTTCAAAAATCTTCTTCTCAAGACCCAGATATGGTAGAATCAAATACTCTTCATAGATGGAAGGGTCTTAAGGTGCTTTACCAAAATTGTGAATTTCTTGACCCTGGGGTCTCGTGTTTTCCCCTGGGGAGGGGGTAAACTTTACTATAGTTTATATAAGGGAAATCACATTTTGGACCAACATTTGTTTAATTTCCATTGGAAGTAATTCAATTTAGGTTAGCATTATCAGTATTAGGTAGCAGTTTGATAGTGTGCACATATGAGCCCTGACTGACCCCCAGGGGCTGATGGGTGTGGCCAAAAAGGGTCGAATTGACTGAAATTTCAAAAATCTTCTTCTCAAGACCCAGATATGGTAGAATCAAAAACTCTTCATAGATGGAAGGGTCTTAAGGTGCTTCACCAAAATTGTGAATTTCATGATCCTAGGCTCTCACGTTTACCCCTGGGAGGGGGTAAACTTTACTATAGTTTATATAGGGAAATCACATTTTAGACCAACATTTGTTTAATTTCCATTGGAAGTGATTCAATTTGGGTTAGCATTATCAGTATTAGGTAGCAGTTTGTTTATTATGGTTTATAATGGCAAATGATACTTTGAATATTACATGTTAATAACTTGATTGGAATTATGACCCTGAGTTGACAGTTTGATACTATGAACATTTTGAGCCAGCCTTACCGTCAAGGGCTGTAGGGTGGGGCCCAAAGGAGTCAGTGTGCTAAAATTTCTTCATTTTCCTTGTTTAGAATCAGAGGTGCTAGTTTCAAATACTTTTTAGTATTAAATCTGTATGCTAGATATTGAATAAGGTGGTTTTATTGTTTTTTGTCACTTTGAATAATATTTCTGTTCATGTTAAATACAAAATCAACTCTCTGTATAAATATATCAGGTGACTGTTAAGGCCCATGGGCCTCTTGTTTCCAAACTTGTGATATTTTCCCAAACCTGTTAATATGGGAACACTACTGATATTTCCCAATTTTTGCCAAATACTGGTGATACTATCCCGATTCCTGGTCTCTGGCCCTTTACCAAAATAGCTGGCAAAAACTTTGCATTCTTTTTTAATATTTTCCCTAAACCACACTTTTCTATAACTGTGTGGAGGATACAGTTAAACCCATTACATAACTGTGTGGAGGATTCAGTTAACCCTTTACATAACTGTGGAGGATACAGTTAAAACCCTTTACATAACTGTGTGGAGGATACAGTTAAACCCTTTACATAACTGTGTGGATGATACAGGTAAACCCTTTACATAACTGTGTGAAGGATACAGTTAAACCCTTTACATAACTGTGTGGAGGATACAGTTAAACCCCTTTACATAACTGTGTGAAGGATACAGTTAAACCCTTTACATAACTGTGTGAAGGATACAGTTAAAACCCTTTACATAACTGTGTGAAGGATACAGTTAAACCCTTTACATAACTGTGAAGGATACAGTTAAACCCTTTACATAACTGTGTGGAGGATACAGTTAAAACCCTTTACATAACTGTGTGAAGGATACAGTTAAAACCCTTTACATAACTGTGTTGAGGATACAGTTAAACCCCTTTACATAACTGTGTGGAGGATACAGTTAAACCCTTTACATAATTGTGTTGAGGATACAGTTAAAACCCTTTACATAACTGTGTGAAGGATACAGTTAAACCCTTTACATAACTGTGTGGAGGATACAGTTAAAACCCTTTACATAACTGTGTGAAGGATACAGTTAAAACCCTTTACATAACTGTGTTGAGGATACAGTTAAACCCCTTTACATAACTGTGTGGAGGATACAGTTAAACCCTTTACATAATTGTGTGGAGGATACAGTTAAAACCCTTTACATAACTGTGTGAAGGATACAGTTAAACCCTTTACATAACTGTGTGGAGGATACAGTTAAAACCCTTTACATAACTGTGTGAAGGATACAGTTAAACCCTTTACATAACTGTGTGAAGGATACAGTTAAAACCCTTTACATAACTGTGTGAAGGATACAGTTAAACCCTTTACATAACTGTGTGAAGGATACAGTTAAACCCTTTACATAACTGTGGGAAGGATACAGTTAAAACCTTTTACATAACTGTGTGAAGGATACAGTTAAACCCTTTACATAACTGTGTGAAGGATACAGTTAACCCCTTTACATAACTGTGAAGGATACAGTTAAACCCTTTAGATAACTGTGTGGAGGATACAGTTAAAACCCTTTACATAACTGTGTTGAGGATACAGTTAAACCCCTTTACATAACTTTGTGGAGGATACAGTTAAACCCTTTACATAATTGTGTTGAGGATACAGTTAAAACCCTTTACATAACTGTGTGAAGGATACAGTTAAAACCCTTTACATAACTGTGTTGAGGATACAGTTAAACCCCTTTACATAACTGTGTGGAGGATACAGTTAAACCCTTTACATAATTGTGTTGAGGATACAGTTAAAACCCTTTACATAACTGTGTGAAGGATATAGTTAAACCCTTTACATGACAACAAGGTTTTCAGGGACAATTTATTTGTTATTTGTTAACAGTTGCATTCCATTTTCCACGTTATGGAATCAATAAGTTCCGCTCAGGAGTGACGTAAACACAGCAGGGGTCAATACTGAGTTCACAAAGTTAATACCTCGTATGTCCACCGTTTGCCTGAATGCAAGCCTGGCAACGTCGACGCATGGAGCCTATCAGACGGTTCAAGAATGCTTGTGGGATGGCATTCACTATCTGTACGAACGCTGCAGCCAAATCAGCCAACGCCACCGGTTGATCAGGTAATGCCCGTAATCTGCGCTTCATTTCATCACAGACGTGTTCAATGGGCGACAGATCGGTGGATACAGCAGGCCAGGGCAACATGTCAACGTCTTGCTGGGCCAGAAAGTCCATAGCGACACGAGCTGTGTGTGGCCTGGCGTTGTCCTGCTGTAGCGTAATGTGACGTTGTTTCCCTTGCATGAATGGAACGATTTGGGTCTCGAAAGAACGTCGTTGTATCACACACGCGTCACGGAAACGTTCTCCAACGCGACGATACACTCTGGAACGGCCGTCACTACTATCCAGGTGGACTCGCGACTCGTCCGTAAACAAAATGCCTGCCCAATCCGGTCGAGTAAATCGCAGATGCCTTCTGCACCAGTCCAGACGTGCTACACGATGACGTGGCAGAAGAACTGGGCGGATTTTAGGACGTCGCGGACGGATAGCTCGTTGATGTCGTCCCTACAAATCCCGGATTGTGTTTCGATGGACATGAAAACGTGTAGAGACAACGGCTTGGCCCAAACCAGCTTGAAGCATACCAATAATTCGGAGGCGGTCATTTTCATTGAGCCTCGGCATAGCATTAATCACAAATTAAAACGTTATAACGCTGTTTTTACTGTTCACTGGTCTCATCAGAGTGACCCAACAGTTGAAAAATAAACTTTCATTGTCCAATTGGATGGATAGACGAGAAAAACGTGCAAACTGGTCAACGCCTATAGAGAGCAAACTGCACGGGAAAAACTGTCAATGACACACGGATAGTGTGTATGTGTCATTCTCGGTCATGTGTGTGAATTTTCATGTATATACAGTTGGTAATACATGTTCTATAACAATTACCCGCATGCACAGTTTCTTTTTCCCGCTAGTATATATATTTATACATTGCATAATAAAAAAACAAGTACATATGTATAAATATACATATTGTGTATTGATGCTATCTTGAAAATTAACTAACGTAAGTTCGTATCAAAATCGCTAACTATCACTTGTTCGGGAACCTCCATATATATTGTGATGGAAGAATATCTATTGAATATCCTAAGAGTCACAAATCTGACTTTAATTTTCACAAAGATGATGCATTGGTAGATTGCTGTTACTTTTCTCCACACATCCGGTTTTGATGAATTTATTCTGATGGTGGAAATCCCAGGTGCCTGTTCGTTATTTTTTTGTTCCTGTAATTTGAGGATATGGGAATGACTCGAGTAAGGGAACCCGGTCAGGTTCACAGTTGGGTATGGTATCTTAGTACAGACCGAATGAATCTTCCCAGTTTTTCTTATCCTGTTCTTTGAGGATATAGGAATGACTCAAGTACTCGTAGTACAGGAAACCAGTCAGGTGCACAGTTGTGTACGGTATCTTAATACAGACCTATCCCTGTCATTCTTCTCATGTTGTGATTTACAAGAGGGTATGAATTCATAGATGAAATGAGTTTCTGCATTTATGTGTAGAGTCTGATTGTACATTTTGGTTTTTATCAACTGAACATTGTTAAAAGAATAACTGAAATGTATATATATTTTTTTCCATTATTAATAATATTGGGGAATTAGGAGGCTTCTGTGTGTGTATTATGGGTATTGGTCCTTGT